AGTTAGAAAGGTCTGTATATTAAACTTAAATGTGTATCCCTTTATCTCTCTTTCTCCTGTCCTTACAGCAATAAAAATCTGTCTTATCTCTCACATGAGAGATCTAACGTTTGAAGAGAGCTAAGATGTCACACTTGAATCATATATTTCTCAGTACTTTAAATTCTACTATTTAACACTTCCATATTTGGCAACAGCCTGTTGGCCACTCCAGATGCTCAAACGATTATTCCCTAAAACCAATTTCCAGAAACGAATATAACACTCAGTATGAAGATGCAATTCAGAGTAGGTGAATCAGTTGTATTCATTAATACAGTCAGAAAACAATACACCATAAGAAAGAATAGATAACTGCTTCAGCATTTGAGAAGGGTGAGACAGGCAGAGAAATAGAGGTTTTCTCTCCTAAATCACCACCAAGTTTTCATGCATATATTCAAAATAAAGAAATACTAATGTCTTAGCTTCATGTTAAATAAAAAAATAGTAATTTCATTTATGACAAGAAGTGAGAAAAAATGGAAGAAACAATGAAGTTTCGGTTGTGTTACTTGGTAACAAGATAGTGGAATTAGGTATGTGAAGATGCTCACACACAAACATACACAGGCATATTTTGAAAGGGAGTGTTCATTAAAGGCAGAATTTATTCAACCCAAAAGGGAAATAATCAGTTTGATTACCGGCAAAAAGGATAATATTGAAAAAATAACATTAAGGACAATAAAAATATTCTATTTTCTAACGAGACTCTCAATTCAAGTCGGCCACACCACTTATCTTGCTAAACCCTCAGTATCAGATGCTTAAAATTTTCCACATACGCTGATATCCCACCACTTCTTACTCAAAACACTCTGTCAAGTGTCTTCCCACACTGCCTTTTAAGAGAACTAATACTATCAGCTTCATCTGAGTTAGATATTTATTTCATATTTGCCAGAAGATTCTGGCCAATGTTTTTGAAAGCACATTTAACTATACCATATGCCTCCTTAAATCATCTCTATCAAACAAGCTGTAGGATAAGACTCTGGTTCATTCTGTTCTGTTTTTCTTTCTTCACAATGTGTTTATGTATATTTACCCAATTTGTTCTGTTCTTCTTGCCAAATTACAGGTTTGAGATTTCAACTAGTGCAGAGCAGCTGTGCTATTGTTGCTGTCTCGCTAAACAAGGGTCAGAGAATAAGCCCACACTGCAAGTACCATGACACCTGCACACTGAACACGGGGTGATGGCCCCAAAATGTGAAGGATTCAAAGAACTTTACAGAGTTCTTTCTATTCAAACTTTAGGAAGTCATTTTGTTACAAAGGAACTACTGGCAGAAATAAACTCCCAAACAACCTACTGATTTTTTTTCTTGGTAAGACACTTGATTGAATCACATGGCATTTTATAATTAAATTATGTCCAGTAAAAGCAATAGAAAACAAGCTCATTACCACTACTTTTGTATTCCTTCTTTTTCAATATTATGAATTTATTTATCTTAGTCTAGAATTCTACATCAAATAAGCGAATTTATAAACAGATATCTCTGCCAAAAAGAGTACTTCAAAAACCCATTTCAACAATGCTAAACAATTGTATCCCTGGGTATGATTTGCCAAGGTAACTTTAACTTCTTTTATATAATGACAGTCATTTCCGAATGCAAATCTATGTTCCAGCTACCCTGCTACCTTCTTAATCTCTATCTCCACATAAAACAACTTCATTTTAACCTTCTTCACGTGCCTTAAGTATTTTAGAGGATAATCCTCAAACAAAACGTCATTCTGGAAGCAATATAAAGATGAGAAAGGAACCGATCGAGCAGGATAATGAGTTGAGGCACATGTCCACAGCTCCAGCTCTGAGACTACGCATCTGGCTTTGAAGCTGTCTGTCTAGGGTTACTTCACCAGTGTGTTGTTAATTATTTAAGTGAGAGAACAGGGGGAACCATCACATCTGTCACCCTCACACAGGAAAAAAACTGTGGTTCATTGTTGGCCAGATGTGTTTATTTGAAACATAGACTAACTAGCTATTTAATGGGTTTCAATCTTTAGCCAAAAGCTAATTAGGCAAACATATTAAGCATCAGTCACCTTACAAGGCTAAACTGTTTCAGTTGTGTTGATTTTAATCTAGTCTCATAAGAGAACTCATCACCTACAAAAGTATCTGAAGAAAATTGAAAGCAAAGGAAAGCTCCAAATTACTTGCAGCATACATAGAACAAATAATGATGTCCCCAAATACCCAATACATTAGCCAATAAAATATGCACAAATTTTGCCTCAGTAGTATCATGTACTTATATAAAATATAAAGGAAGGCAAAATGAATCATTTTTGACAGATATCTTCCCAAAGCATCCCAGTTTGCTTATATATATTTTTTCTTTTCTTTTCTTTTTTTTTGCTAAGTTAACATCGATTTACAATACTCTGTGAATCAAAGACATGGGGGTCACAATTCCTCAGAAATTTGTCATTACAGGTGAAATGTTAACATCAAAAACCAAACAAATGATGATGTCTTATCACTCATAATTATTATGCTCTATATGATTTTTAAAAATCACATCTCCTGAGCAGTTAGCCCATCTATAAATCATTTAAGTATATCAGTAGTCTCTGTGGTAGTATCTTCAAAGTGAGACTACTGTACCCAAAAGCAAAATTTAGAGAAATAAATTCAGTGTCTGGGGTAGAAAAAGCATAATACACATTATAGCTTCCTTGAAATGGAAAATAAGCTGTGTTTCTTAACTGGTCACTAGTATTAAAAAATAAAGGTCCAATGGAGGACACTGGGGCTTTGGTCTGGGGTGTAGTGAAATGACATTTCACAGGTGTAAACCCATGATCCAAAGTTATTGTGATGTAAATCAACATTACCTCAGCAAACCTATGTCTTTATCAAAAAAAAAAAAAAAAAAGGAAAGAGGAAGGCATTTGTATGCTCCCTTAATTGACGTGTACCTCATAATATGATGCTGATCATTTGTTTCCTACCTATACCCCAGAAATCAAAATCACTCTTTTAGTTCTCTAGTATATTTACTATGTGCCAGATATTGTGTTAGGTTGGAGAACTATAGCAAGAAAGAAAACAAAAGAAATTCAATGTAGAAGAGAGAGGCAAAATAACAATCAGGAAATGATTGGGGGGGGCATGAAAAGGGAACAGAGAGTGCCAATCTCAACAGAGGGGAAGAATTTTATGAGTAAATCTAGTGTCCATAAGAGACTTACAAGACCTAATGATGAGACAATGAGCCATGAAGGGAAGAGCATTTCAAGAAGGAACAGCAAATATGAAAGTGTTGAAAGGAAGTAAGTTGCTGTGGTTTAGGAAAAGCAAAGAGGATGGTATGATCATTACAGAAAGAGCACAAGTAAGATGAAATTTGAGACAAATTTAGTTAGGAATCAAATTCTGTAAAACATAGCAAAGATTAGAGATGTTTACTCTGAGTAGAATGGAGACCTCATTATAAGGGGTTTTAAGTGGAGGGCTGACATAAACTGATCTGCATTCTCATGATCCCTTCTGCCAAGGACAGAAACAGACAGACCAGTTGAGAAGTTCAAAAACCAAACGAGAGATGACAATAGCTTGGTCTAGTATGATAGGTATCAATGGAGAGAGAGAAGACAGATTGGATTCTGAATGTGTTTTGAAATTAGAGTTGAGAAGATTTGTTAGAGAAACCAGTACAGAGAGCATATGAGTGGGGTGGGTGGAGGGGTAGAGGACACAATAGGAAAATCAGTAGGGAGTTACAGATTTGAAAATTAGGTTGAAACTTTTAGTTAACGGACTTCTCAAGGTTAATAAAAGATACAATTATTCAGGAAGCTATTGAGTCACACTGTACACTTGGGGTTAAAATGGCTCCATGCAAAATGTGCCTGTTCTCAATCTCCACTACCAGTCTTACTTAGCCACAAGCATGTTTCTACTAACACTGTCTTATTACATGACACACAGAGTGAATATTGGACAAAGAGAAAAGATTCTAAGAGTCTTGCTCTTTAAGCAAAGCTCACTACACAGCTCAGTTCAGACAGTTTGAAATCAAAAGTTGATACCCCTCCAGTTTACTGTGATGACTACAAGTGATGTCCAGTAAGTATCCTGAACATTTAAGCATGCACAAAAGTTAAACTGCTCACCTCAACCTCAAGCTATTAAACTGATTCCCTTGGGTGTCCTGAAGAAAATAAAATCTTCACTCTGAACACTAATCCAGCTTTTGGACTGGGACCCTGTATATTTTTTTGATATAAGTATAAAATGAAATTATAGAACCATATCCTATTTATTATCCTAAATATATTGCACCCACCACTGTTGAGCAAGAGAACATTTGAGATGTTAGTATCATTTCTTTCACAATAGAGAGGATTGAAGAAATTGCAAATGAAAATACTAAATGAGTGACGAAATTATTTATATATAGACAATTCAAATAAAAGCCCTTCTAAATTAAATATCCTTCCTTCTAACCAGCTATCAAAATGGTTAGTGCCACATCATAACAAGAGTACAGGCCTTAACAGGTAAACAGGCAAATTAAAGCACAAATATGTCCCAATGGACCAGTTTCTTTTGTTCTTTAATTTTAATATGTAAATTCTATAGCAATTGCTCAGTCTAAATCTCTTTGGAAAGCATATGCATGTGTGTGTGTCTGTGTGCACACTAAGTTCTATAAGAAGTCAAAACAATGACTTCGGCTCTGATTAAAGTTTCTAACAATATAGCTCACAGCCATCCAGATAAATATAATCTTTTAATCAATACTTAAGAAATGAAATAAAGCAGACTTCACTATTTTCAACTTACTAAAAGTATAAAGTAAAAACCAGAGTGATTTACATTCAACTTACTTAGTCATGTTCAACCTATTGACTAAGTACAATGAAACAACTGTGCACCTGCAGTTTTGATTTGTAGCTAAAATGTTTGAGAAATATTTTAATGAAGTACTTACTCTCCTACTTTATTAAGGGCAGGCGCAGGGCAAAGCATATAATTTAGCTCCACACTGACTGGCTGTACACCTGGAAAGTAAAATACCATTGAGTTAATAAAGGATTTTATGTAACACACACAATTTTATTAATGAAGTGAAAAGGATATGACAGAGTTCAAGTTTGGACCATTACATAGACTAGCATGAAAAAACAAAAAGATACTCATCTGAAAAAAGAAGGAATGAAAAATAGAAATATATTTTTACTGTGTAAAATAGAAGCACAAACGATACATATCATTGTATATACTGTCCTTACACATCATGATTACTTTGACATAGACTAAGTTGACATGACTTTTGTAGATACTATCACATTATTTTCCCTCAATTGTGAAAACATTTAGATTCTTAAGGATAAATTACATACACACACACAGAGCATTAGTTTAAAGCACTGTCTGATTTAGAGGTATAGAATCACAACCTTAAGCTGTGATTCAATTTTAAGCTAAACTTTAAACTAAAATGTATAAATAATAAAGTTTTAATAAGATTAGATTTTTAAGTAAAACTTGAAAAGAAATAGGAGTATATCATAAGGGTAAAAATTTAAAAAAAAAACATTTTTTAAAGATTTATTTATTTATTCATACAGAACTGTAGTACAAGCCAGAAGTGCAGGGGCGTTGAGAGGATTCACCAGAGACAAGAGTGGGGAGCAGAACAGGCAGATCGACAAAGTACACTGCTGAGGGGTGCAGTGGGTGAGAGAGGGGAGGTCTGCCATGCCATGTGGGTCACCTCCGGGGTGGGGGAATCAAACTCACACTGAAGCAACTGTGGCCAGCTTGCAGTGCTGTGTCCTAACCCATTGTGACACCAGGGAGGGTCGATAAAAAGACATTTTATCTCAAAAAATATATAGCAGAGTTGGTTACATTTGGAAAAGCATTTGATACTGATATGTGGTGCAAATATAAAGCAATATCGAGACTGGGGAACCTACTTGTTGTGTATGTTTCATTAACAGTATAAGTACAGAGGACACTGCCACTCCGACTGCCCAAGACAAATCCTCTTCCATTCAAAACAATCTGAAATTCCTCTAGAAGCAAAAGTAAAAATAGACATTTTACTCACTAATTTACAAATAATAATAAGAAGAAGACATAAACTTAAAAGTAACATAAAAGTTTCTTCATACTATTAAACCAACTAATAATGAAGACATGGCACCATTTTCAAGTCTACTTGCCTTCTTATCCTACTAGACAAAGCCAATGAAACTATCAATCACAGTCACACAGGAATGTATTGTTTTATTTTTCATATTATTTTTTGTTTTGAGATAGCTTTGGTTACAACACTGTGCATGATTCAGCAACATAGGACCACAGCTCTTCAGATGGATGTGAGCACACCATATCACTGTGTGTTAGTGCCACAGTCAGGCCAGTCTATTGAGCCACTCCACACCCCACTCCCCTCCTCCCCTCCCATCTGACAGCCTCAATCCTGCAGTCAGGGTTTTGAGTAATCTTTTTTTCTAATAGTGACCAAGATACTAGAATTGAAGCATAACAGTTATTCCCAGAGAAATACCATAAAAGCTTTCCCAAATTTTATCCTCAGGAAAATATAGGCAGTAAAGAAACCTCTTTGTTTTCCTCTACTTTTAGGAATTGAGATGTGGAAATGTGAAGAAAATTAATTTTGCATGTTCTTTTGTTCTAGAACAGTCAGATGTTATATTTTCTTTAATCTATGGTACTGCATGCAGTGTTCTTTAATAGTTCTTCAAATCAGTAATCCCAGTTTCATTCTCTGTTGCAGACAAACTATTAGCTATCACTGGTCACATATTTTGTGACCACTAATAATCTGTAATCAGTCACTAAAGGAAGTTGATTAAACTTATTGTATTTTCCCCTATACTAGGAGCAGTCGTGATGATAGAAAAGATGTTAGCAAATCAACTATTTTGATTTAAAACTAAATATCTGTTGCTAAACTGCAAAATGGTATATTAACTAACAGTGATTAAACCCTAATCCTCTCAAATATCCCCTAACATAATCTAACACACAATAGTGATCAACTATGGAATAAATTACTGCCATGTGACTGCAATTGACACTGTTATGAAAGGAATTTTACTTGTAGTGAAAATAAAGTGCAGGTAAAATTCTAAATCTAATGCAGTGTGAAAAGAATGGGCTTTAGAGTTAAACAGAAAATGTTCTCAAAGGAAAAACTGCTAATAGCAAGTACTGAACATTTCTCTGCTTCAATTTCCCAATCTGCAAGACAGGGATTATAGGAGTGTCAACCATCGTGTTATGAAAAGTAAGTAAAATTATAAATGCTAATGACCTCATATATGTACCCAGCACATAAAAGGATGTTAATAAATAATCACTACCATTTTAATATTCTTTACTTTTATTTTTATTTGTTATGCTTAGATACTTATTAATCTAATTTTAGAAAGGTAATCCTCTGGGATATTCCTCTTAAAGATCTCAATAACCATTAAGAGAATCTAAAAGATGCAGAGTTTAATTCAGCAATTCAGAAGCTCTGTGGCAAATTACATAGCAATTTCCTTCCCCAACAAATTTAATGTTTTTCCTTTTCTAGGTAAAGGCAGGTTAAAATGAACTCCAGATCAAACTTGAAGAAGAAATAAAATAGATCAAAGAGAATCACACTCTCATTGGGTGAGGATGTTTGGCAACTTATAAAACCTGAGCTGTTCTTAGACCAGCTGAGGAAGCCACCTGCTTCCTCCCTGTCATTCACTCTTAAATGATTTCCTTATGAGCGCTGAGATAGCAGATGCTGTATTTTAGCCAGGTCATCAAAGCACAGAGCTCAGTGTCCACAGATACATGACGGTGTGTGTATAATAGGAAGAAGAAAATTTTCATTTTTTATTTTACTTGTTAGAGGAGAGGTTTCAAACATGAACTAAATATACAGACGATTCTAAAAGCCTGTCACACAATATGTTCATTATTTAAAATAACACTCCAATCTTAAAAATTTGAATTTAAAATAGAAATATTTCAAGGAATTATTTAAAAATTCTTACAGAAAATGATGCCAAAAAAGTTAATTTTGCTATTCTCTTTCCAACATGAGTTCTTCAAATCTTCAAATCATATTTTTTAACCAGGAAAAAAAACTACAATTTTTTTACATGGTATTTTTAAATTCTAACCACTTACCCCCTACACAAACACTTGAGGGCCGTAATTCCAGGATTTCAGTGCATGACTGAGCTAGTATCTAAAAAGGAAAAAAAGAAGACCATGATTAAGAACTAAAATTTTTAACATGCAAAGTGAACTATATAATATTATTAAAAATCTTGATGTCCTGTCTTTAACTTCAAAAGGCGGCATAGAAAATTTACTAACCATTCAGCTACTATGCCCTGAGAAAATTCTCTGTTATCTTTCAATAAATATTCTAACATTTTATTCCCTAGGAACCTTTAGTTGATTAGAATTAATATAGATGAGGACAGATAAATTGGGTATTGTCTCAAAGTATGGTAATCTAAGATAAGGAAAGATAACTCAAAGGTCCTGATAGCATAAAATCAATGTTGACTTTCCCTAATTAGGTTGAAACAAGATAGCAAATCAGACCTCTTGTTTAAGTATGCTAATATAAGGTTTTCTACTAAGAGACTCAATATACCAATAAATGCCATTTCTTTATTGGACCATGGCATTTCTACTGCATTTCTCAGCCTCCCTTCTCACGGATGCTAATACTCCTCACGTGCATCAAAAACTACACTTGCGGAACACAGGCTCCTTGTGAGCATAAGTATTATTTTATAAACGCGGCCTCTGTGTTCCAGCATTCCCAGAGCCCCAGAAACAGAACAGTTCTTCTTAGCTTGTTCTGAGAAACAGAAACCACCATACAAGGCATGAGGCTACAAGTGAAAAACAATGATGAAATAAGCTGCTTCTAACGGACATAACAATCCCATCTTTATTTTTAGTACTACTCTGCACTAAATAATCAAAGTCAGAAAAGTTCCAGATGATCTCTGAGAGACATTCCTTTCTTCATGGAAGTTGAAGACATGACCTGCAATGGTTTCTAGTATCTCCTGCTCATAATTAGAATCAGAAGAAAGGGGGTCACTGCACATTAATGTGCTTTCATTAATGTGACTGAAATATAAATTGTTAGACTCTACCATCTACTGTGACAAATCATTGGATTTTTGGTGTTGAATATGCATCAGTTGTTTTTTTAGATCATTTCCCAGTGAGTTCACTTTCCATATAATGATTAAGGCTTGAATGACTAGGAAACAAAGCTACTAAGATTTTAATTCAGAGAGAGTCAGATGAAGTCTATTTAAATTCAGAAATAACCAAAAAAGATCTGACCAGCGCCCAAAGACTGTCTCATTCCCAAATATTTCCCCTTTGCCTGCTGTTTTATTTTGTAAAATCAACATTCCCTTCTCACTAAACTGAGTACCACTGTTCAATTATGAACTGAGGCCCATTGCCAAAGGTCAGTGTGACCTCTTGGAGGGACAGTGCTTCAAAACACTAACATCTTTAAAAATGTTGACATAATTCAAATAAGCATCTGAAGGGAACAGCATAGAAGTTTTGCCAAAGGAGCAAGGGCCCAAAGATTTCAACAAGCAAAAGTGAGGTATTATAGCTTTAGCATAGGTAATCAAGGATAAAACTGAGTACAGTGAACCATGAAAACAGGCCAAAGGAAGACACAAAGCCCATAAATTTATGTTGCCTGCCAGCACTTCTGAAGGAATTTATTTTAAAACAGATCTCAGCAAAAAATCTAATTATATCTTTACATTTACAATCTTTTTATTAGTTCTATGTGTCTCATTTCTGTTATCATTACTTAAAAATACTTCAAGCACCAAGGAAAATTATGAAATAGGTAGAAAAACTGAATCTATCAGAAACAGAACCATTTTTATAATTCCTTGGAGTAAGATAAATCAAAAATTTACAAAGACCATGTAAAAAATACATATACCAGAATTTGAATGGATTTCTGAAATTATATTGGTTTTATTTGTCCTACCAATATTTGCCATGATCAAATCAGATCCTAAAATAGTTAAGACAGATGTGTACATGTTGACTCCAGCTCTGAATTAAATGTAATTCATCAACACATTTTTTAAAATTATAGCAAAAATCAAAAGGTCAACTCTTAGGTGAATTCTTTGTAATATTGGAGAATAAACACTTTTAAGAATTGTTTATCATTTACATCTGTGATGCCAGACCCATTTACCTTCTGTAAGGTATTCTCATTTTCAGGAAAAGGGTGATGTAAAAATTTATGTTCTACTGAAGTTTGAGATTAATGAGATCAAATTATATTTGCAGACTTTAAGAATAGCAAAAAGTAGGGCCCTCCCTGGTGGCACAACAGGTTAAGAGGTAGCACTGTGATGCTACCTGCATCCACTGCAGCACGAGTTTGATCTCTGGCGAGGAAGGTGACCCATGGCACAGCAGACCTCTCCTGTCTCACCTGCTGCTCCCTTCAGCAGTGTACTTCATCCATCTGCCTGTTCTGCTCCCTACTCTATCTCTGGTAAATTTTCTCACAGCCTCTGCAACTCTGGCCTGTACCCCAGTTCTATATGCATAAATAAATAAACTCATGCCTTTTGCAGCAACATGGATGTAGCTGGAAGGGATCATGCTTAGTGAAATAAGCCAGAAAGGAGAAGAAAAATACTGACTGGTTTCACTCATAACAGAAGCATAAAGGACCAGGGGAAAATAATAATAATGAACAATTATATATACCAGAAACATTTTACAGGGGTGGAATGGGAAATGGGGTCAAAAATGGGGGTGGGAGAGGAGAAGTACACTGGGCTATGGTGATGGCACACAGGTGATTTGGTGATGGGAAGCCCATGGGGATTACAACTGAGCTGGAAAAGGTAATAATAATTGCCATTGTTGGGCACTTATGATCCAGAAACAGAACTAACCACATTATCTGAATTTCTTTAGCTAATTATCCCAAATCTTGCAAGTGCATACTAATTGCATCCCCACTTTAGAGCTGAAGAAGCTTAAGCTTAAGAAGATTTTTAAAAATTGCCCTAGAACAATTAGCTTTTCACTATGAGTCTAACCTCCCCAGTTTCATTGGGTCCAAAATCAGTTCTACTTTTGCACTCTACTACCTTGTAAGCCTGTGATGGACAGGATGGATCCATTACAAAATAGATATTTAACAAATTAGTAAAACTCAAAAATGACCTAAAATCAGGTTCATTTGTTATATTCAAAAACATGTCCCAAAATTTTCACTTTTATATGTTGGGGGACTAAGAGGGGTGTTTCAAAATTCTTAGTATCATTGACTTTGAACAAATTTAAATCTTATCTGCACTCTGAGTCAGTAACATATATGATATCCAAATTTTTAGTATCCTCCTTTTTATTTATTTTTCCTCTATTGTCTTACTTTGTTGCTACTTTCTATATCAAATTTGTTTTCTACAGATAAACAAATTCTCAGTATCATCCAGAACCTAAAAGACTGGAGAGGCTATACTAATGACAGGTTAACAAGCTACCAAAGGTTTTGATTTGGTTTTGTGACCACAGCAAACTCTTTCAAAACTAAAGTCAAACAGGAAAAATCAATTTGCTATTTTATCTTCGAACATATCTTTTTCATCTAAGTAAAAGATGGCAATGGCTTTTAGGTTTCACAGTTGAAATACTCTGGAATATGACTGAGCTCTGAAACAAAAAGGACATTCAGAGCCTGGAGGTAGAAGTTTGGTTTTCTGTTTTGTTTTGCTGTACACTGTGTGTGTGTGTGTGTTTGGATATGGAGTTGACTTTAGCAAGTTGATATAGACTAAGATAGTCACCCTCACAGTCTCACCTAAATTGTGAGAAACAGACACTTTTTTTGCTGAACTGTAAATCACAGTACAATTAGTCTATCTCCCCTAAAATTCCATTTCAATGTAATTTCTTATCTATGAACTTATTCATATTAGAATGTGACTATATGAGTTGAGCTGAATATATGAAGGAAGTCAATTAACCTGCATGGTATTGTAGTTTCAAAAGGATGTCTGCCCATTCTCTACACATGGAAATGCAGGCAGCAAAACCATTAGAAAAGCAGTCTGAGAGAAAGGTGTGAAATTCCAGGAGGGTAGCTACTGGTGTGCACAACACCCTTTGCAAAACATGTGTTTATAAACCAGTAAAAATATGTAATAGAAAATGTAAAATATATACAACTCTAAATTATAGTTACTTTGTATAAAAATTCTACTTTCCAGGATGTTGCCTCAAAGTGAATTAAATGTCTAAAGATGATTTTATATACCACTTACTGTCTTTTCCTATTATGGAAACTGTTGTATTTAAAATGTATTTGTCTTTACCATATGATTTCGCTCTTATGTGAAGATAAAGCAACAAAGCAAATGAACAAGCAAAATGAAACAAAAGAATGCTCAGATACAGAGAACAGATTGGTGGTTACTATATGGGAAGGGTGGATGACATAGGCAAAAGAGGTCAATTTTATTTTTATGGATGGAAGCTAGGTTCTTGATGGGATCACAATGTTGGAATTACACACCTGAAAAATATTACTTTATAAAGTTATTTCAATAAAAAGTGTAATGAAATGTATTGCCTTGAATGCTTCTTCTAAATTGTATCCCAAAAAGTCTAACACACACACACACACACACACACACACACTAAGAAAGTCAAAATACATGTAGTTCCCATCCTTTGAATTGTTTGGGATAAAACTACACTAGCGCAATAACATTTACTCTTACAAAATATAATTATTTTCTGTTGCTTCTAGCTGGCTGTGAAAGATCCATACATTACTTGTATTAATCATATAATCTGAACATGATGAATGGCTTGATAAATACCACAAATGCAATTTCAATAAATTGTTCTATTTAGCAAGGGAGGAGGACAGAATGCGATTAAGTTGTTTATGCGACTTCCTGGATTAATTTTTGGCTAGTAAGAGATCGGATCACTTCTGATCACACTGTTTGCTGGTCTCTGAGATTACAGATGTTTTGGCTGGAAATGAAAACAGATCACACTGTGCTGTCCCTTCTCCGAAACCAGACTTGAATGAAAAATCACACAGACATTTCCACCCTGTGTACCCCAGGCAAGTTCCTAATTAATTGGATTGAGTCTGCATCTTGTGTCATGTGACCAAGTTGCTGGATTTCAAGTTAAATC